TTTTAGTAAAACGAACTTGCTGGGATTTCCTATAAAGAAAACATAGAAACTTAAAAAGTAGTTCTAGTTTTTGTAACATAAACGCACCCACAAAGTGATGTTCACGGGAATGAATTTCGCTATGCCATAGATATTGAACTTTAGAGCCACTTTCCGGTGGGGACTTTTTTTCCCCACCCTCCTTAGTGGCCTGTGTAGGGACCTCCCTGGTTCACAGCGGCGGGACCTGAGGACGGATGCGCCTTCCCAGGGGAGACGCAAGATGGTCCCTCAGTACAGGCCCGTCAGTAAGCCCACTTTCGGGGAACGAGTTCAGAAGCCAACAGCCTAGCGTGGTAAGGACCTCCCGGGTAGGGAATACAAAAGGTCAGCGCCCAAGGCCGGCCCTGGAAGGTCGCTCCGTGGGTGGAGGCGGGCGGTGTCGCGGACCCTCGGGCACGGCCGAAGCGAGGCGGACCCGCGCCCGACGCCGCCGGCTCTGGGCCTCTGGCGGGCAACGTGTGCCGAGGTGCTTTGTGGACGGCGGGGCCGTCCCCGGCGGCTGCCACTCACCGAGGTTGACGACCTTGAGCGCCGTGAAGAAGCGGTTCTGCTGGGCCAGGTCCTGCCAGGGCGCCCTGGAGCAGTGGTACTTGATGAAGGGGAAGCAGCCGGTGCGCAGGACGTGGTAGTTGGCGCCCTGCACCGGCCAGTTGAAGTGCGAGAGGCCGAACTGGTCGTTGCGGACGGCGCTGTAGGGCACGCAGAAGGAGGTCCAGTGCGGCAGGCGCCGCTGCAGCAGGTGTCTCGTCAGCACCTCCGAGGCGCGGGGCTTCGGGCGGGAGGCGGCGCCCGAGGCCCGGGGCCCGCATAGCAGCATCCGGAGCGCGGCCTCGTGGGCCCGCCGAAGGGCCTCCATGGCCCGCCACGCCGAGGACGCAGGCCCGTGCTCGCGGCCGCCGCGGGGGCGCGCCTCAGGGGCGGGGCAGCCGGACCGGCGCGCGCCCGCGACCCCGAGCTAGCGGCGGGAACGCCCAGCGGGCGCGAGAGCCCCCGGGGCGCGGCGGCGCGTGCGCACAGTGATCGCGCGGTCTCCCGCGGAGGCGGGGCGGGAGGTATGACGCGCGCTGGGCGTGAGGGACACCTGCGTAAAGGAGTTGGTTAAATTGACACATATGACCTCATGTTGTTATTAGTAACCCCAGGGTGGGGAGGTTTTATCAGTTTGGGTATGAGGAAAAGTAAGGTGTAAAACAATGAAATAACCTCCCTAGCGAGTGGCAGAACTCAAATCCAGGCCCTGGGCCCTACTGAAATCCTTAGTAGGCATTGTAGAAACACTTGAGAAAGTATCCTCAGAAGTGAGTTAAAAGCCAAGATCCCAGATTTGCATTGCCTGGTAAGGGTCAGGGAGTACTTGTGTGTACAGGTCCTCCCTGTCGTGTGCACTGTTTAAAATAAGTCCCAGATATTTCAAAAATGAAAAGTTTATGTAAGGCCAGGCGTGGTGGTGCGCACCTGTAGTCTCAGCTACTCGGGAGGCTGAAGCAGGAGGATTGCTTGAGCCCAGGAGTCCGAGGCAGCAATGAGCTATGATTGTGGCACTGCACTCTAGCCTGGACGACAGAGCGAGACCTCGTCTCAAAAAAATAATAAAAATTGTATTTTCAAAAAATCCCACATCTCTTGGTGCAATGCCCAGATGCACAGAGCCACCTCCCTGCTAAGAATGCCAGACCAGGAGCCTTTTAGTTATCGACCTTTATAATCCTCAGTTACCCATTATCGATCCATTACTTTAGGAAAACCTTTTCTCAAACTTTGCAGCCTCTTGGGGTAATAACTTATGTATACAACTATTTTCTAAAGAAGCATTTTCCTTTATTTGTTCTAAACTCATCTTATTTGGAGAGACCATACATAAATAAGATGATGTGTCTGAAAGCACCTTATGTAAATGAGGTACAGCAATTATGCGTAATCATCATATAACAATTACTATTATTGTTGAAAACTCTAGGGAGATGTAGGATAGTGTGGCTAGTTTTTATATTCTCCAGTTTTTATTCATTCATTCAACATTGAGCCCTTCCTCCCCCAACATTTGCCAAATCTTGAGGGACCTTGTAGTCATGCAAATAATTTGAACTTTATAGAATTTATAGAATTTCCAGTTATGTAAAAGTTTTTAAAGGATTTTAGGTGAAGGCACGATGTGGTTAGATTTGCATGGAGATGGCTGAAAGG